TTTGCAATGTTCTTCAGGCCAGGAGCTCTATACATTATCTAAGGGGTGGTAAGGAAGAGTACAAGCTTAGATTGAATGCCATGAACACCCTGCTGGGGTTCATAAGTGAACCTATAACAGAGGAAGCTGTGGAAAGCCTCAGTGCAATAAAGACATGTTTATGGTACACAGCCCTAAGAAGATTATTTGTGGGAATTTGTGGAGGTGGAGAAATGCATCTATACAATATATTATGATGTCCGTATGGAGATAAACTATAGCATATATGCAGAAGTGGGAATATGGAAATGAAATTAAATAACTCACTATCAAGTTCTTAAGGATTTGAGCTTAGAAATTAGTTTAATATGGCTATACTGGCATGATGAGGTCTTACAGGTCTATTCTTTTCATTTTTGATGTTCAGCTTTAATTTATTAAAGTACAGTGTATCAAAAAATTGACATGTCTTTTTCTCTCTATAAAAAATCTAAAATATTGGGGTTTTGTTTTTACTTTTCATCTTTTTGCATTATAGTGCTACTATTCTTGTCCATCCTCTTCACAGCCACTTACATATACTACATCTACACATACTTTCTATACTAAAGGCTGCATGTGTTTGCTCAGGATGTGTTTCCTGATGGTGACAGTGGCATAATAATGGCTAGCCTCCACTAGAACTGTATGTGAGAGAGTGACAATGCAGAAGAACAATTCTCACCCCATGTTAGGAAGGGGCTGAACAAGGATCTTTGAGGCAGAGTTACCAGGTATTGTTTAAATAAATGCTGAAGATTTAAGCACATTGGAAAATACTTTAGCAATTATATTACCTTGTTAAAGATTATATGAAAGTGTTAACTAATCCTGTTAATATGTTTGTAAAAATAAAACAAATGCCAACCATAAAGGCAGGAAAAAATAGAGTAGACCTTATGGTTCAATAAATACAAAGTAATAGCTCCCCCTGCAGACGGATAAATATATACAGTTGCATTGCATTACATCTACAATTAAATCATATCTGATCAATGCCTATATTGGGTACTTTACATTGGATCATTTCTTTTCCACCCTTTTTCTTTAAAGTATGCTAAAAAAAATTCCTTTTGAACTGTTCAGATAGAATTGCAAAAAAGCAGACAGGAGGATCAAACAAGGGCAGCCCTGTGGTCTTCCCCATCTGGTATAAATTATGTTATTCTGGCCTACCAATAGGTACATTTATAATACAGGAGCTTATTTTCCGTGAAGTAGAACATGACAATGATATATTAATCCAAGAGATTTAATTGAAAAATAAATAAATTATTTAATATATATATATATATATATATATATATATATATATATATATATATATATATATATACAGTATATACACACACTCACACACACACACACTATTGGCAAAAGTATTGGTATGCCTGCCTTTACACACATATGAACTTTAATGGCTTTCCAGTATTAGTCCATAGGGTTCAATATTGAGTTGGCCCGCCCTTTGCAGCTATCACAGCTTCAACTCTTTGGGAAGGCCGTCCACAAGGTTTTTAGGAGGGTGTCTATGGGAATGTTTGACCATTCTTCCAGAAGTGCATTTGTGAGGTCAGGCACTGATGTTGGATGAGAAGGTCTGGCTCACAGTCTCCACTCTAATTCATCCCAAAGGTGTTCTATCAGGTTAAGGTCAGGACTGTGCAGGCCAGTTAAGCTCCTCTACCGCAAACTCGCTCATCCATGTCTTTATGGACCTGTTTCCCACAAAGTTGGGAGCATGAAATTGTTCAAAATGTCTTGGTATGCTGATGCCTTAAGAGTTCCCTTCACTGGAACTAAGGGGCCAAGCCCAACCTCTGAAAAACAACTCCACACCATAATACCCCCTCCACCAAACTTTATACTTGACACAATGCAGTCAGGCAAGTACCATTTTCCTGGCAACCACCAGACCCAGACACATCCATCGGATTGCCAGACAGAGAAGCATGATTTGCCATTCCAGAGAACACGTCTCCACTGCTCTAGAGTTCAGTGGCGGCGTGCTTTACACAACTGCATCTGATGCTTTGCACTTGACGATGTAAGACTTGGATGCAGCTGCTTGGCCATGGAAACCCATTCCATGAAGCTCTCTGCACACTGTTGTGCTAATCTGAAGGCCACATGCAGTTTGGAGGTCTTTAGCTTTGACTCTGCAGACAGTTGGCGACTTCTGCGCGCTGTGTGCTTAAGCATGCACTAACCCCGCTCTATCATTTTATTATTATTATACAGCATTTATATAGCGCCAACAGATTGCACAGTGCTTTACAATATAAGGGAGACAGTACAATTACAATACATTTCAGTACAGAAGGAATAGGAGGGCCCTGCTCGTGGAGCTTACAATCTAATGGCCTACCACTTGGTGCCTGAGTGGCTGTTGTTCCCAGTTGCTTCCACTTTGTTATAATACCACTAACAGTTGACCGTGGAATATTTAGTAGCAAGGAAATTCCATGGATGGACTTATTGCACAGGTGGCAACCTATCATGGTACCACGCTTGAATTCACTGAGCTCCTGAGAGTGACCCATTCTTTCACAAATGTTTGTAGAAGCAGTCTGCATGCCTAGGGGCTTGATTTTTTACACCTGTGGCCATGGAGGTGATTGGAACACCTGAATCCAAAGATTTGGAGGCCTACCCAATACTTTTGGCAATATAGTGTTTGTGTATATATATATATATATATTCCAAACCAAATAAGGACTGGGAGTAAGATGCAAATAGTATATTAGGTACATTTTGGCCATTTTTGCCTTTAAGAGTTATGTCAACAATTATGATACGTACTCATAAGCAGCAGAGAACAAGAAGCACATCATTGCTACAAATTCAAACTATCCAATCACCTCCAAATGCAAACCTGTGCATTTGAAGGTGATTGGTTAGTGAATTTGTAGCAATGATGTGCTTCTTGTTCTCTGCTGCTTATGAGTACGTATCATAATTGTTGACACAGCCTGAACTTGAGAAAGGACAGGAACACCTGAAACTGTAATTTTTTAAATGAAAAAAAAAATCCTTTCTATTTGCATCTTGCTCCCGGTCCTAATTCGGTTTGGATTGTATGGAGCCCACCAGACCAGTTGATGCGATCGATATTCTACACAGTGTGCAGCTCCTTGCCTGGACTATATCAAATGATTTACAGTAATATGTTCTGTTTTTGTTGCCCTGGAAAGCAACATTAATACCAACACAAACCTTTCTAATACAATATGGGAAACTAAATGAATGCCAAACAAGTGTTTATGAACTCTTATAAACTCACTGAATCAAGGATTATTATAGTGACCATATTCCTTTTATCAAAAAGCTCACATATAAAAGAGGTGGTTATGTACTTAACTTTCCAAAAACATACATTATAAAAAAACTGACACTTCTCTGACCCCCAGCTGCTGCAAGCTTTCACCCATCAGGCATTCAGCCATCTGATTAGTTGAATGCTTACTGCCCCTGCTGGTGGCTATGGTTCCTCCCATCCTGTTCTAAAAGGTAAGTAAATAAACACCACAGGTGGTTACCCCCTTCATGACCAGGCCATTTTTTTGTTATTTAGCACTGTGCCACTTGAATTGGCAATTGCACGGTCATGCAGCACTGTTCCCAAATTAAATTTATATCGTTTTTTTTTCCCACACAAATAGAACTTACTTTTGGTGGTATTTGATCACCACTGGGTTTTTTTTTATTTTTTTGTGATATAAATGAAAAAAGACCAAAAATTTTGAAAAAAAAAATATTTTTTACTTTCTGTAATAAAACATCAAATAAAAAAAATAAAAAAAATAAAACGTTTTCCTAAAGTTTGGCCAAAATGTATTATGCTATACTGTATGTCTTTAAAAAAAATCTCAATAAGTGCATATTAACTGGTTTGCATGAAAGTTAAAGGATCTATAAACTATGGTATATATACTGGATTTTTTTATTTATACTACTAATGGCGGTGATCAGCAACTTATAATGGTACTGCAATAGTGCGGTGGGCAGCGGGCAGTGACTAACTGCCACTGACATCACCAGTAGCACTAATATGGTGATCAGTGAAAATAATCACTATACTAATGACACTGGTTGGGAAGTGGTTAACATCTAGGGCAATCAAGGGGTTAAATGTGTGCATAACATTGTGTAATGTGTGCTGCTTTTACTAACAGATCTCGCTGTTTCTTACTCCCTCTGTGCAGAGCTCTGTGTTGATTGTCAACACAGGGCTCTGGACTGTGCATGGATACAGCCGATCAGCAGGCCCCTGCCATGAATCAGGCCAGCAGTGCTGAATGTTGGGAGTGTTTTGTTTTTTCATCACTTGGTCTCAGCCAGATGTTACTATTACACAGCACACTGATAGATGATGAAGGCCAGCCTCCCTGCTCCTCCTCCTCTTCTTCTTGATCTCCCTAATTGCCAACAAAATGCATCAGTAATTGGTATCGGCGAGTACTTAAAAAAAGTATTGGTACTTGTACTTGTTGCTCAGAAATTGATATCGGTGCATCCATAACAACAACCATTTTATTCTTCAGGGCCTCTATTTAAGAAATATATAATGTTTGGGGGTTGTAAGTAATTTGTGGTACTCAAATGTAGTGTAGTTCTGCTTTAAATAAACCAGTTGTTTAAATAGAAGTGTAGCTGCATAATACACAAAATGTGTATGCTTAGATTGCAGGAGCTGGAAAATGTGCTTGTCTTTGCTGCAATCACTGCAATTCCTGTGTATGGCAATATTTGGATTTGCAGTAAATTTGCACTTACCTATTATAAATGCATACAGTATACCATCCTGAAAGACAGCCGCAGAACATAGACAATACATTTTATTTCATTTTATCAACTATCTATGAATCTTAAAATGTTTTCCCATGGAAAATCAGGTGCCCTATAGCATGCTAGTACACATGACAGTATTAAATTCCTATAAGGCCTCTAATATTTACATTATTCTATATCCTTGTCCATAGCTCTTCAGCAACATGTCATGTGATGAAGCACAGTCATTATGTTTCAAGATTTGGCAGTAAACTTGGATTACAGTGTGTTGGGATGAATGAAAATGGGATAATATTTAACAGCAACCCATCACTGTGGAAGGTGATTCGGCCCTTCTTTAACAGAGGTATGTTTCTGTCCTAGTTTAAAAATGTTCCTTTTTTTTTCTTAAATGTATGTCTCTTTTTATTAAAGCAGAGCTCCAGCCAAAGATAACAACCTAAAAATGAATAGCATTAGATAAAATTACTAAACCCACTTTTTCTGCTATATTGTGCTTGAATCTAGAGATTTCCACATCAGTACTTTATTCTGCCTCTAGATGTCCTCAGTCAGATGACTAGCACCATTAAACCCACTTCCTCTGAGCCCAGGTCATCCTGGACCTGTCCCAAACCTGTGACTGGACAGTGAAAGCAGAAGCAGCACAATGATGAGCTCATCTTTCTGTCAATCTGCTTTCCCCTTCTGTCAACATGCTTTTTGTCAGCACATAAACTGATTGACTCCTTGTACTGTTTTTCCTCTCATATGCCTGCCCTGCTGTACAGGGAGTGCAAGAGGTTTTTATCAGGTCAGATTAAGATACATACTGCTTGCATTTAAAAATACGTCAGTGATGTAATGGTTACAGAACTGAAAACTTATGTTTTTTTGTATCCTCCTGAAGTTCATCTTTAAATTTTGTATAACTTTTTTGGCTCATAGCTCACTTTGGTGTGGCTCTTTGGTAAGGACAAATTAATAGGCGACTACTAAAGGTACCTATAGAAATTAGAAGACGTCTGAGCGTCTCTGTTTTATCAACATCACACACAAAGATCTTCATGACTGTGGTTATTCTGGGAAAAAGTCAGGAAAATTAAAAAAAAAAGGTTTTATTTTGCTGGCTGATAGAAACTGGTGGTCAGGCTGTTTTGTTAAGCACACTGTTGGACCGGCACACTAAAATCATGCATGTCTATGTGTAATTAGAAGAGAAAACAATTGGCAGTTGCAGATGGAGCATCGCATAGCTGAACACCTAACCAGACTCAGGTTGGCTTATTAAAGACAATTCAGATATTTACTTTGCAAGAGAATTTTCCCTTAGCATAGAGATTGCAATAAGGCTCTGCTAATTTTCATCATCCAATCATGTGCAAGCAAAAATACTGAATTTTGACTACATTCACTAAGTTAAAAGAACATTTTAATGCAAAGTAACCTGAATATTTGCCGTTAGTAATCAGCCCCAATCAGGGCTGCTGTTAGAAACCACGGGGCCCCATAAAGCCAACCTGACAGGCCCCTCCGCCCAAAAAAAAAAGAAATCACATTTTACTGTGCTTCAGCTATGAATGAATACAGTGAGTGATCATACCAATTACTCATTGAACCGATTCACTGTATGGCTCTTTCTGAAACAGCTGAAAGCCAGCAGATTTGGTGGCTTTCAGCTGCTTCAAAGAGAACCATACATGGAATCGGTTCCAGTAATTGCCCCCCCCGTGCTGATCAACCTCCCTTCCCACATCCAATTCACCAAGCTGCCTGGGCCCCACTGCTGACCTGGGCCCTGTACAGGAGGACTGATGGTACCCCCTTATCCACAGCCCTGGCCCCAATATGTACAGTTTCCACAGAAATACAGAAAGGAGCACCACACCAAAACCAGATAAAAGAGTCCAAGTCATTTGCATTAAATTAATGAATTAACAACATATAGTACCTATAGTAACCAATCAGTATCATATTGTGAACAGTGAATTCTGATACTGGTTGATATTTGTTTCTTCTTTCACTGTACACAGAATAGGTAGAAAATTATTTAAAGGCTAAGTCCACCAGTTGCACCAGGTTACATGTTACAGGGTGGGGGGTTCATCTCCCCCAAATCAGCCATCACTTTTGAAAATCACCTGCATTGTTCATTTACAGAGATGTTTGAATGAATGAACTGCAGAGAGTTCTCAATGGAACACAAGTGCACTGATCACTGCCCCTGTAGTCCTTTGCTCTCTAGCTGAAAGCCTGTACATTGGTATGGGCATGGAGCTGGAGGAAGAGTCTGCAGGAGCCTGGTATTGCACCCACGATCCACTAATCGCAGATGCAATGCTTGCAAGCTCCTATGCAAAACAGTAATGAATGTAATATTGTATTCCTGCAAACATACTGCATGTGTTTTTAATATTGTTTGCTAAAAGGTGGACTTAGCTTTTAAAATATATTGTTACCTTGTTATGGCTTATCTGAAACTGCTGTATGATTACCTCTGGCTGGTGGATCAATCTACTCAGAGCCTGAGATGTAGGAGGGCAGAATGGGCACTTATGCCCTCTACCTTGTAGTAAGTGGTTGGATATCTGGTGACATATATACAGTTGTGACCAAAATTATTCAACCCCCAATGCTGTAAAGGGGTTTAGGGACTATAGTGTACATTTGGAATTGTATTCAGAATCAAATCCTACAAGGACGTTGTAACTACCCAAATGCAACTAAAATGACATCAATTGTTTATGTAATACAGTAGTAAATGGTTCTTATGTGGTTTCTTCATTGCCACAATTATTCAACCCCTTAAAGACTACCACTCTGAAGAACAGAGGTTCATACAGGTGCTTTCCATCAGGTATTGAAAACACCTGTGGATGTCACCGAGCAGCAATCAAGCATAATAAGCACCAATTAGGCAGCTTTAAAATGACTGTGATACTCAGCTCCTTCTAGACATTTACTGGTGTGGTTACAAACATGGTGAAGGCAAGAGAATGGTCCAGGAAGACAAGAGAAGAGGTGATTTCTCTTCACAGGAAGGGCAATGGCTATAAGAAGATTGCAAAGATGTTAAACATACCAAGAGACACCTTAGGAAGCATCATTCGCAAATTCAAGGCAAAGGGCACTGTTGAAACGCTACCTGGTCGTGGCAGAAAGAAGATGCTGACTTCGACTGCTGTGCGCTACCTGAAGCGTAGAGTGGGAGAGAAGTCCCCGTGTGACTGCTGAGGAACTGAGAAAAGATTTGTCAGATGTGGGTACAGAAGTTTCAGCCCAGACAATAAGACGCACACTGCGTAATGAAGGCCTCCGTGCCAGAACTCCCAGGCGTACCCCCTTGCTGTCTCCAAAGAATAAGAAGAGTCGACTGCAGTATGCCAAAAGCCATGTGGACAAACCACAAAAGTTGTGGGATAGTGTTCTGTGGACTGATGAAACAAAATTAGAACTGTTTGGGCCCATGGATCAACGCTATGTTTTTGGAGGAGGAAGAACAAGGCCTATGATGAAAAGAACACCTTGCCTACTGTGAAGCATGGTGGAGGGTCAATCATGCTTTGGGGCTGTTTTGCTTCTGCAGGTACAGGAAGCTTCAGCGTGTGCAAGGTACCATGAATTCTCTTCAGTACCAGGAGATATTGGATGGAAACGTGATGCAGTCCGTCACACACCTGAGGCTTGGGAGACGTTGGACCTTTCAACAGGACAATGATCCCAAGCATACCTCCAAGTCCACTAGAGCATGGTTGCAGAGGAAAGGCTGGAACATTTTGGAGTGGCCATCGCAGTCACCAGACTTAAATCCGATTGAGAACCTCTGGTGGGACTTAAAGAAAGCAGTTGCAGTGCGCAAGCCTAAGAATGTGACTGAACTGGAGGCCTTTGCCCATGAAGAATGGGCGAAGATACCCGTAGATCGCTGCAAGACACTTGTGTCAAGCTATGCTTCACGTTTAAAAGCTGTTATAACTGTAAAAGGATGCTGTACTAAGTACTAAGATTGAATGTCACTTGGGGGTTGAATAAAACTGATAATGCTGTGAGCACAGAAAAGACATTTGTGGTTATTTCATTATAACTGTTATGTTATATTTGTCTGACCTACAAGTGCCTCTTTAATGTAAATGTAAGCAAGATGACTGAATGATCAAAAGCAATGTCAAACTGGCCAAAACACTCAATTTCAGTGGGGGTTGAATAATTTTGGTCACAACTGTATGTATATAAAGAACCAGCAAACACAAGTGGTCCTGCACTTGGGGATGGACTCAATGTAGGCTAGGACCACATCATGAATGTCCTGGAATATGCACACCTTGCTGCCCTCAACAGACCGGGGAAATCCAAATATACTGAATGGAGAAAGAACAAACAGAGGGAACACCGGCTTAGTGCATTACCATACAAAATGTTTACTAAGAGATACAAATAGGTATTGTACTCACAAATGACAGTAAAGTCAAAGGCACATCATAAAAGAACAGCTTGGTCAAAACCGTGTTATGTGACTGTCTGTTTGTGAGTACAATACCTATTTTTTATCTCTTAGTAAACATTTTTTTATGGTAATGCACTAGGCCGGTGTGTCCTCTATATATACAGTATATGTATACATATCATTGCTAGTAGTGTACTGCTCATCAATGCAGTCAGGCATATATTAAATAAGGGAGATCAAGGTACAACAAGGATGTTTAGGCTCCATGCACACCAGTGTTTTCTTAAGCTCCTAGAAGCTATTATGAGCATTTTTTGTCTGCTCCTAGAAGCTACAAGTGTTATCCTATGGCATCATACACACAGGACATTATAAAAACGCTGCTCCACTTGGCAGCAGTGCTTTGGCAGAAAAAAAGCCTGATGTTTGTAAAAGTGTGTAACGCTTTTACAAGCGTTTAGGGGTGTTTACAGGCGTCAAGCTCTTGGGCATTAATTCATTTCATTGGCCAGAATAATAATTTATTCTGGCCATTGAAATGAATTACCGCTCAAGTGCTGAACCTGCCTAGCGTTAAGACGTGTCAAGCCTTTTTCTTTTTTATGAAATACTGCTGCTATTGGACATACTGGCAGTGGGTGTTTTTTTTACAGCTCCTAAAAAGCCCCTGACACTAAAAGCTTCTAAAAGTCTCCAGGGTTGATTTACTAAAGGTAGTGAATAGACTGTGCATTTTGCAAAGTGGAGCAGTTTCTCCAGAGCAGGGGCGGACTGACCATTCGGGCACTTGGGCACTGCCCGAGGTCTCAGGGTCAGTAGGGGGCCCCATGAGATGCCCCTGGTACCTTTCATTGTTTTTTTCATAGGCTTTTTTGGGTGTGGACAAAGACACAGGGGCCCCATGATCCCTTATTGCCCGGGGC